ACATGGGGAAAGAAAGCTGGAGGATTTTGAATCTAAACCATCTTTTACTGTCCCTCAGAAGAAGAAGAAAAAGAAGCGGGCACATATCCTCAGACGTCCATAAGAAGATTAAAGCAGTATTTGAGTTTCTGAAAAGCCTCCAGGAGAATGTCAATAAATTCCATTTTATCATCTTCTGCTGCTAATGCTTTGTAAATAAGAGCATCCACTGATTTTAGCTCTGTTTGCCAGAGCGTTCCTTGCTGCTTTTCGGGATGGAAGTCCAAAATTCTTTCTCATGTAAAGAGAGAAGAAGAAATGATTGCAGCTCCCATTGTTTGGCCATGTTTTGTAGCCACTAATGCAAAGAGGGAAGCGAATGTGTATTCGGGAAGCGAATGTGCCGTCTGTAATGTGGTTTATACGCTCATTACTGTCCTGCAGATATTTCACTAAAACTAGAGGAAAATATTTGTGACTCTCCATGTTTAAATGTTTTATTTATAACACTTAGAGAATCAAAGCGAAAGGCATTTGGATCAGACTTCTGTTACAAGTCTGTACGAGCTATTGCTTGTTATTTTTCAGAGACTATTTTCTATTTTATTTTATTTTTACAGTAAATGTACTGTCATTGTTTCTGTTAGCTTAAGCCTGAGAGAAACCAGTCTTTCATAAAAGAAAAAAAAAAACAACCTTGTGGTGATGTAGATCTACTTCTGAGACTCCCTTTGGGCATTTAATAATGTTTTAAAAGAAAGTTGTCAACTAACTAGACGTCGTGATGTCCTATTGAGATGGCCCGTATTAAGTCTAATTGCTTCACTACAGGCAAGCAGTTGAGCTGTTGCACAATTCATATTTCCTACGGCGAAATCGTTCTGGAACAAAGCGATCATGCTTAAAATGATATAAAACTTGATGAGGCTATTCTCTGGGCAGATCAATTCCCTATTTCAGCTGATCAACATTTGACTCACTCATAATTGTGGAGCATCGCTCACTGCAAGCTATTTTGGGGATCGTATTGACGCCGGTCTGTTTTGTTCAAATACCAGGAAAGTAGAGACAGGTGCACTTTGCTTTTCATATCGCCATCTATTTGGAAGCACTACTAGTACGTCTCAAAAATGCAGAATCGGGCATGCATGCGCAATATTTCTTGCCAATCATCTAAAAAAGGTGAAACTCATATATATTATAGAGTCGTAACGGATAGAGAGAAATATTCTAAGCCTTGTTTCTTGTCATTTTGAAGATTATGGGTTACAGGTAATGAAAACCCAACATTCAGTGTGTGTTAGAACGTGCTGCAAAGAGTCATAACTCAGAACTCTGACTCTGGGTCAGTATAGGACACTATCATGGGGAAGACTGCTGATTGGACAGGTGTCCAGAAGACAGTCATGGACAGCCTTCACAAGGAGAGGAAGACACAAAAGGTTGCTGCTGAACCAGCTGGTTGTTGACAGAGTTCTGTATCCAAGCCTTAGTCCTCGACGTGGATGTCACAGGTTCAAGTCCCGGCCTGATAACCTTTGCCGCAAGTCTTCCCCCTCTCTCATTACCCGCTTTCAAATAAAGGCCACCTGAGGCAGAATAATACAAAAAAACAAAACAACAATTTTAAAGAAATTCTCAATGATTTGTGTTATTGGTGTTATTGTAGAATTTTGCCAACTGATCTGGAGCAGTAAATATGTAATCTGATTTAATACACAACATGTCTATTTTCATGTTGCGTATGTAAATATCTGGTTTCAACTATGTTTTATAGTTTCTCTTCTTACTAAACTGCAAGAAGAGGGGGGGGGGGAAGTATTTTCATATATGTACAACATGGAAATGTTTGGCCTTTCTGGCTTGTTGAAGTTCATAGCCAAGGCTCTTTCTATAACCTCCACATTCCACTATTTTCAATCAAGCTCTCCGAGTGTCTAATCTCTGCATGTTTGTTCTGGCTGCCCTGTTGCAGCGCGTGATAAGTTGGCCACCTCCACTGGAAACTGTGCAGGTTGTGTGCTCTGCAGGGGAAACAGGAATCACTTCTGATCCATCACAAGGCCCCAAAGCCAACCATGTATCAAATGTGATGACCACCTCTGAGTGCCCCATTCCTAGTCTGAAATCCTTTGGATATTGGAGAACACACACACACACATACACACCACGTGTCTCATTATTTTTTAATTCACTCTTAAAACACACAGGAGTGCTCGCACTGAGTAGCTCCACACTGACTGGCTCTGGGCTGGAGGTGTTACACAGACGACGCTGGAGACTGAAACAAACATTTGGGCTCTTCCAAGAATTACAACATGCTGCTATGCTGTTCTCTATTTTTCTTATTACGTTTCTCTGTCAATCCTCCAGTGTGACTGCTGACAAAGGAGCTGATATGATGAGTCATAGTTGAGCAAAAACAAAAAACAACAACAAAAAAGAAAAATACTTCACACACAATGCAGGTATGTACATTAATTCCAAGGGCAAGAATCTGCTGTGTAGAGAATAAAAAATGAAAACCTTTGGTAAAAAAAAAAAAAAAAAAAAAGGTGACAAAGAATGTATAGTGGTCAGAATCCTGGAACCAGGTTGCAGTCTTACAAAAACACAATACACATCCAAATAATGAAAAAATAAAAATAAAAAACACACACTTGTCGATCTAAACATAGAAATAAAAACCGTTTTGTTCAACTTCACAGCCTGTCATGTTTTTGAAGCATGTTTAATGCTCTTGATGCATTCCTGCTCTGAATATTTTTTGCATAATGGTTCACTACTTTTCTTTGTCATAACCATTTGAACTAAATAGTCAGATATTTGGTTCTATTTAAAGGTCTATTAGTACCCATAAGTATTCAGTTAATAGTAGCTATTATTTATCATTTATCGTGGTACATTTCTTATGATAGGAATTTTGATTTATTGTTATCAAAATAATTCCAATGAATAATGTTTCAAATAAAATCTAAACCGATCATATTGTTGGGATTGTCTTCACTGTCAGTCAGTACATGTCAATACATTTGAACATGTGATTAAACACAGTGACTGAGTTCAATCTAGTGATACAAATGATGTTTCTTTATGTGAAAAGAAGTCATTCATAGTCCTAACTCTCACTTTTACCATTGTCACCAAAGTTCTGCAAAATGTTGTGATAAAACTTTAAATCCATATTGCCCACCCCTAAATGAATTCATGAAATTTTCAGCTTGTTTCAGCGTTAGAGCCGTCGCTTTAATATTAATTATCTGGGTAAATATGATGAAAGAGGCATTTATAACTGTATCTCTTGATTCTTAATCAATAACCTCATTGGGTTACACCGTTTGACTCACAGCCTATATGTACAGAGTTTCTAAAAATCATCTTATGTGCTCTTCTTTGAAAACAAGATATGGATTTGATTAAAGCATAATTAAGGCAAAGGTAGCAAGGCAGACAGTTTGCCGATAAAACAAGTTATTGAAATGAAAGAATCAGATTCAGCTCGTGCAAAGCATATCATGAGTTCACCGAATTAAAGTCATTCCATGTAATTGCAGAAAAAGACAAAAAAAAAAAAAAACGGAGCAAGCTATCCCGATCATCAATAAATTATTGATGCGGTTCTATTATAAAAAGCAATAATGCATTTGTCCTTGTCCTGCATCGGAGTCCTCTTTCTTTCCACTTTAACCTATTTCACACCTCTCATTCCACTCAACTGCAAAGCCTGCGTGACATAAATTTCATCACCCGTACCGATACTGTGGAGGTGACTGTGCCATACAGACAGAGACGAATGCTCTGTGCTCTCCTACTCGGTCGCATTCATACATGCACGGAGGTACAGTCGGGCCTTTAGGCTATAACAATCTGTGCAGAGGTTTTAAATGCAAATTGCCTGTTAAAGCCTGTAAACATCAGTCTATAAGTCTGAGGTTTCCTTCGAAATATGGCAGCGTTTTGGGAATTGTCAAGAATGCTGGCAGGAAAATCACGGGGGAAAAGGAGAAATCATTAGCTTTCCGACACACCGGCCAGTTCGGTTTACACTATGTCCTCTTTCAACTTGTATTTGTTGCATAAAGACACAAATAGGAATCTAAACGAGGATTGTTGGTCTCTGCTATGAACGTAAAGTGCCTGGTCTGCCCAGCGTCGGCCACAACGGTCTCCCACTTCATTAGGTCTATAAATGTGCTGCTTTAGTCATTTTGGAAAGAGAGAAATAATAAAATAAGCCTCGCGAAGCAATCCACTCAACCGTTATATTACACCCAAATCTATGTGTGAAAACAATTGGCTCTGATTTCCAGGGGAAACAGCTGGCGCACTGTTTCTGATTCCCCAAAGAAACAATTACCGTCTCCTCTCGCTGCTTATCTCCTCCCAGGCAGGTTAGTCACATTTACACCATGTTAGCATCTCAACGCACAAATTGTGGCTTAAATAAAGAACGGCACAAATGACACCACAGAGTTTGGGTTCTCTAAAAGCACATAAATGCATGTGTTTTTTTGTTTTTTTTTCTAATTAGGCCACGCAAGGCTACACGAGCTTACAGAGCTGGCGACCGAGTCTCAGTTTAATCCAATCTTCCTAAAGTAATAGAGAAGCAAACACACTTAAAAACATAGAAAGTGGAATGAAAACGAGAAAGAAACAGATTTGTCCGCGGCGCGCCGCCAAAAGCGACGTCCCGCTCCGTTTTAATCCTCCTTCCTTTGTTCCATCAGTCAAACCGCTCATAAAATATTTACGTCCATTCAGTTATACTAATTAATTAGTCCAATTACAACAGGGCCAATTTATTTCCCAGTAAATGATTGCAGCATAATGATGATCTGGAACAGGTAATGATGGGAAGTTAGTGAAGCGCAAAATCCACCAGGGGTGAGACAAAGTCACTGATAGATGTGAAAACACCTGGGACGCGTGGGGGCAGAGCGAGAGGCGGGAGCAACATGAAGCACTGAAACGCGAAGCAGGCTGAACGTCTCCTCTGCAGGAGCAAACCAACGGCTTACCTGAATTGGAGATCAATTTCCAGCTGATGGACGGCTCCGGTTTACCGCTGGCCTGACACATCAGGGTGACGTTAGATCCCTCGTTCACCACAATGTCCCTTGAAAAGTTGATGATTTTTGGAGGCACTAAGTCAAAAAGAGAGAAAGAGGTTGCAATTATTAGTAAACGGTTTCATGTACCTAAAAATAACACTTTATATATATATATATATATATATATATATATATATATATATATATATATATATATGTGTGTGTGTGTGTGTGTAAATCTTGATTTGTTTACAAATGAAAAGTCTCTTAAATGTGTAAAGAGTCTTCTGTGAAAAGGTAAATTAATGAATCACTTTATAATAACTTATCACCTTGCAGGAGGAAAAAAAATAACAGTTTAGCATTTCTGTTGGTTGAAGTGTTATTTAAATATATAAAATATCCAACAAGCAATTTTTTTCTACACACATTTTTGTATTATTGTTAGAATAATTGTGTCTTTGACGTCTCATTTCTGGACGAAGACTCTAAAGGAGCTTCTGCTGCAACCAACCATGTGTCCTTTATTTTCCCATTCTACGTTAAACAAAGTTTTTCTACATGACAGGATCTCTAACGGAGCTCCAGCTGCCATGAACTTGAGAAAATCCGATTTTTTTTTTTTTTTTTTTTTTTTTTTTAACCTACGAAGGCCCAGATTTTTTTCCTGGATGGGGGTGAAAGCCAAAAAAACCCCGGATTTAAAA